TCCTTTCTCATGAAAACCAACCTATGCCTCATCTTAATCTTTGAGTTCAGGATGGGTCATGCCAAGGGCAATGGTGTGGCCTAGGCTCTGATTAGACGACACCCCTCATGACTGACCATTGGAGCCTCTTATCAACAAAACAGAATGGGACAGAGTTAAAACCCTGATTCATTTTGTTGTTTTATTGTTAGAAGTCTTTTTATGCTTGTTATTTACTTAATATAATTATTTATTTACTTAATATAATTTTGTGGTCTTCAAACAAATTTGGGGACCTAAGTAAAAATGTATTTTATTTGTATAATGTTTTATAGTTTTAAAAATGCATTTAAAATTATTTATATGTATATATATATCATATATATTTACATTTAGTTCTCAGAGCGTGTGTGCACTTGCCAGAGAGATGCAGAGAAACAGAGAAAAGGAAAGAGGTAGAAAGCACTCCCCGTTGGGGTCAGTTATAGTACAATCCCTTCTCCTGTGTGTCATTTTGTTGGAATTTGGGGCATACACTCATAAGTGCCCAGTTGTTTTTCAAGTCTCCAGGGTTGGCATTTGAACTGTGGTCAGTCATGTGGACTCTGGTTCTTTTAATCACTAGGCCACAAGGCCAGCTCTCAAATGATATTTTCTGATGCTCACAAATATTCTGTGAAGTAGTCAGATAATTTTCTCATTCTTATTATTTTAAAAAATTTGCTACAGGATGTGTGCAATTATTGGAGAGAGGCAGAGGGAGAGGGAGAGGGAAAATGAAAAATCACCCCTTGGGGGTGATGCCCACACCGTAATTCATTCTCCATTCTCCTCTTGGGATATTGGTCATGCACGCACTCGCGCCTGGCATGATTTTCAAGCTGCTAGGTCTGGGACTCAGGCAGCACAGTCAGCCATGTGGGATCCAACCACCTTAACCACCACGCCACAAACTGGACCAGTTTTCTCATTTTACTGATGAGGGAACTACAGCTGAGTGACTCAGTTGCTCATTTAAGCTCTCATGGTTTTCGGGTAGAATAACTAGAAATCTCAGGTTGTTTTCACTGTTATGTTCATCTTTTTCATTCTATTGCTTTGATAAATGAGTGTAGGTTTATACATCTGACTGACAAAAATGAGATTCTTCTTCTTTTGTGTAGGAGTCTTATGCCTTGCTTAACAAATATGGACTTCTGATAGCAAAAGAAGAGATGGACAAAGTTGACACACTGCATTATGCTTGGGAGAAGTTGTTGGCCCGGGCCAGCGAAGTTCAGAATGAACTAGTCTCACTGCAGCCCAGCTTCAGGAAAGAGCTTATTGGTGCCGTGGAGGTCTTCCTCCAGGACTGCCACCAGTTTTATCTGGACTATGATTCGGTATGGCTCTGACTTTGTCTGTCTGCTTTGTTGTAGGAGAAGGAATGGAGCATGCAAAATGTAGTCGTTTAAAAATTATGTGTCAAATTCTATGAATTTCTTAGAAATGGGAATTTTATTTTCAGGAGGGCAACATTTCCTTTCAGAATCCCTTTCTTTTAGCATCTATCCAGAATAATTTTAACAGAAAATGAGTAAGTTAAAAAGTGTTGTTGATTTGTATCATTGTTCTGTTACAGAAGTTATTTGATAGGATTCTAAGTCTGTGCAGAGAAATACTATTCATATACTATTATAACAGCATCCTTTTACAGCCTTTTAAAAATTTCTCAGAGGGTGTACATGCTTATGAGAGAGACAGAGAGACCTAGAGAGAGGGAGAAAACACCTCCCAGTGGGACGTGGTCTGGCAGCAATCCCTTCTCTGTCATTTTTCCTTCTCTTTGGGCTTTTGGACATGCATACAGACATGCCTGGCATGTTTCTCAAACTGTCAGGGCTGCGATTCAGCCATATGGGATCTGGATCCCTTAACCCTGAGGCTGCGGGGCTTGTCTTCTACAGCATTTCTCAGTTTGACAAATAATGCAGAGCACCGGCATGTATCAGGCACTGCCTTTTGTGCTGACAACCTTAGGTGTGGACAAGAAAATGCTGTCCATGTGGAACCCACGTTTTTTTTTTTTTTTTTTTTTTTTTGAGAGGTTTTTCGCTATAGGGCGTGTGCACTGGCTAGACAGACAGGTAGAGACATAGAGACAGAAAGTGAGAAATCACCCCCCCGGGGGGATGGTCACGCCACAATCCCTTCTCCTCCGTTCTCCTCTCGGGATCTTGGGCACGCACGCACACGCGCCTGGCGTGAGTTTTAAGCCACCGGGTCTGGGACGCGAACTGCGGTCGACTACGTGGGAGTCCAGTACGCTAACTGCTGATTCCCTGGAACCCACGTTTTAAACACATATATGGGCAGTAAGACTATGTTGTGTGATGAGATCCATTTCCACTCAATTTTAATATGCCACAGAGGGAAATGTGCAGAGTGTAGGTAAAATGTGTACCCATGAACTAGAAGCAGGATGCTTTGGGCAGTTGGGGAGGCCTTTAAGATGAGAGCCTAAAGGGAGGGTGCTGTCTGATCTCCTGGTGGCATGGATGGGACCGAGCGAATGGGGAATTGTTTTCTCACTCTTGGCACAGGACTGCCTTCCGCTTTTTTTGTTGGCTTTGCTGTGACATAGCACTAGGGGGCCACCTGCTGCCGCCTTATGTTTTTGGACTTTCCAGCCACTAGAATCATGAATCAAACAGAACTCTCTTTCTTATAAATCACCCAGTCTCAGTATTTCTGTTGAGCATTACAATAACAGACCAAAACACAACAAACCACAGAACTAATGAAGTTAGGAGATTGGACCTCTGTACTAACTTCAGGGATGAGGAAGCACAGAAATCCCCATATTTAAGGCATTCTAATGCAGTCAGTCCTGACTGGAATTTTAAGATGATAAGTCATTTGATAAAGAACTATTGGGATGGCAAAACCTGTGAGTTCTATGACACTGGCATTTCGGTTCAAAATCAAACATTGCATGTGCTGTTTCTCTCTCTCTTAATTTGCTGGATGGAGCATGCGCTTGCTGGAGAGAGAGAGGGAAAGTGAGAAAGCACTCCCCATTTGGGATGGTCACACTGCAGTCCCTTCTCCTCCAGCTTCCCTTTCTAGACCCATAGGCACACACACATGCCCTGTGTTTTTCAAGCTGCAGGGTTCGGGACTCAAACTGCGCAGCTGGCCATGTGGGATCCAGTTGCCTTAATCATCAACTGTTGGCCGGCACCATATGCTTATCATTTTTTTAATGTTTATTTTTTCCTTGCATGAGTGTATGTGCACGGGAGAGAGATGCTTCTGCAATGCATCCCCAGCCTCAGCCAGCCTTTATCTCTGGCCACGAACCCGGAACCTTCTCACACACGTCTGCCTCACAGAGCATTCCTCACTGCTTTGCTACCATCCAGCCCCTGTGTGTGCTCCTCACATAACAAACATTGGCACTCCTTTGCCTATGTCACCTAAGGAACAAATCAATCATATCGTCAATTTTAAAAGTTTCTCAACTTATGCAAAGTATGGCAGTAACTTGGTTTTATAGACTTGAACAATATTTCTAAATGAGTCATTTTCTGAGGATTTCTTAATAGAAATAAAAAAAACCCCTGAGTTTCCTATGATGTATGTGACAGGTATATAAGTTAACTGTGAAGTTCATGTGATTTGTGTGTAAGCACCTCATTTTATTTTAACCTTTTGTTCAGAATGGACCAATGGCTAGCGACTTGAAACCCCAGGAAGCCAGTGACAGACTTCTCATGTTCCAGGTAATCTTTTCATTGTCCATGATCTAAATGCTAAAACGCTTGCTGGATTTTAAAGACATAACCTCACAGATACAAAGACCTGTGGTGGCACATGGTAGGTGCTCACATTTAACAAATGCGGTGTGGTGTGCTTACGGTGGGGAATGGTGTCTACAATTTAAATATATCCATTTTAGCCCTCCTATTTACATGTGCCCAGAGACGTGACATACTTGCTTTTTTGCAAATTTTTTATTTTTCACTCACCTGTTTGTTCATGGATGTCACGCTAATAACTTTTACTTTGTTTTTGTTAGAATCAATTTGATAATATCTATCGGAAATACATCACCTACACAGGAGGAGAGGAGCTTTTTGGCCTGCCAGTCACACAGTATCCCCAGCTTCTTGAAATAAAGAAGCAATTAAATCTTCTGCAGAAAATATACTCCTTGTACAACAATGTCATAGAGACCGTGAATAGTTACCATGATATCCTTTGGTCAGAAGTGAACATTGAAAAAATCAACAACGAACTCCTAGAATTTCAGAACAGGTGAGAAATGAAATGATTGGCAAGCTATGGAACTTCAAAGGCTGTCTTTGTTAACAGGCAGCCGAGTTCTCTTTTCACCCCAGAGTTTTGCAATGCTCAGATGGCCACGTTGTTGTTGACATCACCATTGTCAGGTGCTATTTATTAATTACACTGGTGTGTATACAGTGAGACAGGCACATTCTACATTATAAACTGGATGAACTGCGTCAAGGCTTTTCGATAGCCTGGAGGGAGATGATCTTTATTTACACGACACTTGCCAAACATTTGAAGTTAGTGATTTCCTGGATTAAAAACAAATGCCTCTTAATTTTCCTACATTAGATTTTATTTATTTTATTAATTTTTTTTTAACATTCAACCACTGTGTTTCATTACAGTATACCAAATGAAATTTTCCATCATGAATACACTGTATATTGGTTCAGCCAAAGACATTACCATACACGTCAACATCAACGGACACTTTTCCATTTTTATGTCCCTTAAATGTTTTGTTTCTTTCTTTTTCCCCTCGATTCTCTCTCTCTTACCCTCCCCCATACCCCCCCTTCTCCTGTGTTCTACATTTTTTTAAGTGTTGAATCCAAAGAAAATGGAGGGCTATTTGTTTATTTTGGTTGACAGCCTCATATGCTATGCTAAACTTGGTACTTAGTAAGTCAGTTCTCCATATTTATTTGTAGCTTTGAATTCAATTGAAAGATGCCTCTAGCCTTTAAAATAACACCTTTATCTAGGTAATTGTTTTGAGGGATGGGAAAAAAAAATCTTTCCTGATCAGGAGGAGCAATTTTCTGTAATATTAAAGACAATATATTGTATTAAGAGATAGCTTTTGAATCATAAGATTTAAAACGGGGTAGGTAAATACCATTTTTATGAAATGCTGACAGAAGATCTCGGACTGGAGAAGCCTAGGCTTGTGTCTCATGTTGGTTTCCCTCTGCAGGTGTCGGAAGCTGCCCCGGGCCTTGAAGGACTGGCAGGCTTTTTTGGACCTGAAGAAAACCATTGATGATTTCAGCGAGTGCTGCCCACTGCTGGAGTACATGTCCAGTAAAGCCATGATGGAGAGACACTGGGAGAGGATAGCCACTCTCACTGGGCACAGTCTAGATGTGGGGAATGAAACCTTCAAGTTGAGAAATATCATGGAGGCACCTCTTCTGAAATACAAGGAGGAAATAGAGGTACAGTTGATGGACAGTGTGATGTAGTAGAAAGCTGGAGTTTATTTGGTAAAAGTGGGATTTATTTGATAAAATTGTGATATTATGGGATGTTGTACCAGCAAACCACGTTCAGACAGTTGAAACTCTTGTACTGGCATTCAGCCATTAATTCCTCCAGCAAATGTTTATTGAGTGCCTACCATGGCACAGGGGACATAAAGGCG